GTTGGTGCACCTGCTGGTGGTGTTAATGCAACTATTCGTTCTATTGTTCGTTATGGTTTATGTGAAGGACACAATACGTTCGCTATATTCGATGGATTTGAAGGTCTAATCAATAATCAAGTATGAAATATCAGATTTGTTTAAATAAAAAAAAAACAAATTTCTATTTGATAAATATTAGGTGAAAAGTTTACAATGGACGGCAGTCAATGGTTGGAGTAGTGTTGGAGGTTCATTACTTGGTTGTCAAAAGTAAATGAAAACTAAAAAAAAAAAAAACATATTAAAAATAAATTTTGTTTTATTTTTCAATCTCATTTAGAACAAGTGCAGCTAAAGTTGGTTTAGCAGCAGTAGCTGAGAAAGTTCGTGAAAATAATTTCCATGCATTATTTGTTATCGGTGGATATGAAGTAAAGAAAAAACGAAATAGAATTTTAAATATTTTATTGATTAAATATTTTTTTTCAGGCTTATTTATCAGTTCTTCAAATGTATGACGCACGAAGTACACATCCGGAATTTCAAATTCCACTTATTTGTATTCCTGCTACTATTTCAAATAATGTACCTGGTACAGAATTTAGTATTGGTGCTGATACAGCACTTAATGAAATTGTTAAAGTTCGTATTGAAAATGAATAAAATAATCAAAAGGAATCAAGTATTCTTTTTTTTTCTTATGTGTGGTAATTAAGATTTGTGATAAAATCAAACAATCTGCTCAAGGTTCTAAACGACGTATATTTGTTATTGAAACTATGGGTGGTTATTGTGGTTATTTAGCGACTATGGCTGCACTTGCTAGTGGTGCTGATCAAGCATATATATATGAAGAACCATTTACAATTAAAGATTTAATTGATGATGTTGATCATTTACGTAAAAAAATGGAAGGACATTTAAAACGTGGTTTATTACTTCGAAATGAAATGGCTAATGAACATTATTCAACTGATTTTATTACAAAATTATTACAAGAAGAAGGTAAAGGTGTATTTAGTGCACGAAGTAATGTTCTTGGTCATATGCAACAAGTAAGTTAAAATTTATATGATTAGTTTTTGTTTGTTTTATAGATGAGAAATTTTAATTTAACTAGGGTGGTTTACCATCACCATTTGATCGAGCATTTGGTACAAAATTAGGATGTAAAGCAGTTACATATGCAGTATCATTAATTGAACAAGCAGCAACAGAAGAAGGAAAAGTTGTTTGTAATACTCCAGCAAGTGCAGTTGTATTAGGTTTGATTAAACGACAAAATGAATTTACACCTGTTGAAACACTCAAATCCAATACTGATATCGAGTAAATAATTGATGTTGTTTTGATTAATTATAAATTTGATTTATTTTTATCTAGACATCGTATGCCACTTGAACAATGGTGGCTTAAACTTCGACCATTACTTCGTATTTTAGCTAAACATGAAAGTGTATACGTAGGTGATTTCGTCGAAACGAGCATTGATGATGTGGACTAGTAAACGTAGATGTTTAAGCTTTTCTTTGTGGTGAACCTCAAATACGATTATATGCACACTTAAATTCTATTCAAATACACTGTTCTTTATTCTCCATTTTTATAAACAAAAGAAAAAGCTGTATTCTTATCATGTCCTTTCTACTCTAGCTTATTATACATCTTTCAATTTATAGAATATGTTGTCAATATTTTACTGAATATCTTTTATTATTTAAAAATCAAAATATATAAAAAAGAAAATGTATCGTTTTTTATATCGATTGAAACAGAATGAATTATTATTCAATTATATATTTTTTATTGAAGAAGAATATTTGTCGATGTAGTTGACCGATCACTAAATAGTACGAATGATTTATAACACAACTACTAATAGTTTTTTTTCATGCTTATTATACATACACACACTGGTCAATAGTAATGCTAGACTTACTCATGTGCACTCAATTTTTTTGACATATAGTATAATTAGACGAAAGGAGAGATGAAAGAAACTCAACGGTATGAATACGATATATAAAATATTGTTCAACGAGATAAATTAAATATGACAAATAATTTTTATAGTCTATTCGTTATATCTGATAATAGAATATAAAATAATATTAAAAATAGAAGATCATATCTAGTTATTTAATTATTATTTTTACTACTATTTTGTTTTGCTTATGGACACCATTAGCTTATGATGACCTCATAGAAGTGTGCACACAAATAATATTGACTTTAGTCTCATCAATTGATCAACATCCACTTGACAGTAGAAAAAAAATATATGTACAATGCATTTTAATTAAGCTTCAAGTATTTAAAGTTATTGTTTTCTAAGTAAAGATAACATAGAAAGATTATGAAATGAATGTTGATTGTCTTTTAAGAATGTGTGTTTCTAACGAAATTCAGTGATAATGATGATAACAACTTAGAAATAGAAGTTATTTGTTAAACAATGTTTCATAAATAAAAAAAAGAGAAGCTCACATACAATATATATATATCATTTTTTTGATCTTGTATCCATTCATTTCACTACCTTGAACGATCACATGAATGTTTTCTAGTTATGCAAATAGTTATTACACATTTACTTAATGTATATATGTATATAATTATATATCTCATTTTGCCCCGTTTGTATTACTGAAAGTGTTTCTTTTCCTTTTGCGTTGTTTGAGTACAGCTGTTTCAAACGTACATATGGGACGCCTGAACACAAAGAGAATAATTGAGAAAGAATGACGACTTTCTCTCCACCATTGTAACAGACATTCAATTACTAACCTCTTATTTTTCTCTCGTTCGGCGTAGTATGCCATCTAATCTCACATTGCGGTCTTACTCATTGGTCTTTTTCTTTGTTGCTTTTTTTTTATTTTATTTATAGATGATTGATGGGTGTTGCTGTTCTGTTTGACCATTAACACGTCTTACTCATTCTTCGCTTACTGTTTTACTTCGGCTACGGACTATATTGTATATCTAACTATTGACAAAGATAATTTTTTTTTATTTCTTTCTCTCTCTCTCTCTCTCTCTACCGATCGATCAAAAGCGAAGTAGACGACGATGACAACGCCTAACAGTAGTGATGATGCACAATTGAAAGACAAAAACACAACACCAACAACAGTAAATAGTAATAGTAGAGGTGAAAATATGAACCAATCATCAACGTCTACTAATTCAGTAACACAAGAGGCAACTAGTAATGAAGCAACAACAACAAATTTAAAGTCGCAAGAATCTTCATTTGAACAAGCTTTCTTTTTTGGTTTATCTATTGATGATGCAGTTAATTCAACTGAAAATCTTATGGAATTATTTTACAATGCTTGCAAATTTAATCATTTAGACCTCGTTAAAAGATGTGTTGAAGAAAAACATGTTAATGTTAATGAATTATTCAATAATGATTATCCATTATGTATTGCTAGGTAAGTCATTCAAATAGAAAAGATTTTTCTAGAAAAATTTTGATCAAAAAACAAATATTACATTAATGTACCCGTTCGTATCTTTTTTTTTTTATCTTAGCCATAAAGGTCATATTGAAGTAGTTCGTTATTTATTGGCTCATGGTGCTGATATTCATCTTAAACGAGAGCTTAATCTATCAAATGCACGTAGTAATAATCGTTTAACTCGTGCTAATGTAACATATGGTGATAGTCCACTTTCACTTGCAGTCAAATATGGTTTTGAAGATATTGCTATTGAACTTGCTGAACATGGAAGTGAAATATTAAATGCAAACAATGATTTTGAAAAATCTCCATTACAAGATGCTATTCGACTTAATCGTACTCGTGTTTTAAATGTTTTTATGAATAAACTTAAAAATACTAAAGGAACATCAGATTATGATGAATCATTATTATTACAAAAAAAAGGTGATATACTTCGACAATGTCTTATTAATGATCAAATAGATGCATTACGTATATTTGTACCAAATGTATGGGAAGAACTTAACAGTGATTTTATGTTTACTGTCTTAAGTAATCTTATGTTAAAAAATAAAATTCAATCAGATAAAGCATTTGATGTATTAGAAACAATACTTGATGCTATTCCAACATCAAAATTAAAAATGTATGATTTTGGTGATTTACTTCGACGATTTTTACATATTTTACAGGCACAATTTGTAACAATCAATGATGATCGAATTCAAATTCTTTATTTACGTACATCACTTCTTTTTACTATACTTAAATATCATGAAATAATTGATTTTACTAAATATTTGGATTTGTTAGATGTTTTTTTTCGGGCTATTTATAATAGTGTTGAAAGTACAGGTGAGAAAACGAAATATAATACATTTAAAGATAAATTGATGTTTAATAATATTTTAGGCGAAGGAATTAATCAAATATATGAATATATCGTTCGCTTTTATGACAATCTTATTTTAATGGGTCATCTTATTCTAACAAACAATACCGTTATATTAAAATTACTCGAATGTGAACATGTTCAACGTATGCAACCAATTGATATGTATCTATCATGGCGTGCACGTAATCCATTTTTACTCAAAGAGAGTTGTCGTCTTATGATTAAAAATATATTACCGTCTTATAAGCGTGTTATACTCGACAAATTAAATCTTAATGACGATGCATATTCATATTTATATTATCAACGATAGTCGTTTAACATCACTATATATACTCGCAATAATACTATTCAATGTTTTTTTTTTAGTCGTGATACCACAAAAATAATATTCTGCGTATGTGTATGTGTGTGTTTGGTCTTGTTGTTGCTTCACTTTATATTGAACAAAAAATAAAAAACCTGAGATACTAATTGTGGAAAAATAAACCTATTTAAATTATCACAAATTTTAAAAATAACAGTGTGTGTTTTGTCCCTTTTTTTTTGTGTTCTCTTTAAATTTATGATTATCCTCTAATAAACTAGAACAAATTCAAAAGGAAGAAAAACGATCAAAACTTTATGTGTACATTTTATATTATTTGATAAAAGAGTATTTTTAGATTGAAATGGCAAAAGCACGTATCCATAATGCTTTTCAATCATTTATGTCTTGGATTTCACAATCACTTGATGCGAATGCAACAGATAATGCATCAAAAATATGTTGGATTTTTCATCTTCCACCTGAAATTCTTCAAACACTCACTGAATATTTAAATGTTCATGATATTATTTCTTTGAGTAAAACTTGTCGATTGTTTTATACCCTAATTAATGATGATAACTTTTGGATTCATCGTATACATTATCAATTTCCTTCATCTATTGCTATGTTTTATACATCGGATTTATTTCAAGAACCTGAAAATATTTTGACTAATGATGAAATTCGTCCATCTGGTTTCGATCATATTAGAGTCGATCATGAACTTGATATTGCTGCAATAAAGTCAGCTACACATTATAATGATGAAGCTATTGAAAAGCGTCATGCTAAAATGTATACATCAAAAAAAGATTTTTTAACTAAACTACAATATTTTCAATTTAAACAACCAAACAAAAGTCTGGAAATTCCAAACATGAAATTGATCTATTTTTATTTGATTGATCGAAAACGAACTTCAGTTGTTGATATGAATGTTATTCATCGTAATTCTTATTATCTTGTCGAACAAAATGAGAAAGATAGTTTAACAGGTCGTATTATTCGTTTACAACAAGTATGTTGGCTTGAAATAAGTGGTCGTTTTGAATATGATATTATGCCTGGAAAATATGAAGTTATTTGGCGAATGAAAAGTTATTCAGGTTCTGTCAATTTGGGGGGAGAAACGGAATTTACTGTTGTACCATCCAGTGGAAAAATGTTAATTCGTAAAATATCTGAAAATGATTTTCAACATTATATACTCGAACATGGTAATCATTGGTTTTTAATCAATATGGGTCATATTGTAATTTATGAAATCTCAACAGTTTTCATGGGAATACGCAATTGGCATAATGGAAATTGGAAAACAGGCATTTCCTGGGATTGTATCGAATTGAAACTAATAGCTTAAGGCTCTTCTCCTTGTTTTCGATCAAAAACTCAATTTTGAACTCGGCATTATTTATAACTTCTAGTGTTGTATGCAATGAGAGACATCATTCGACTCTAAACAGCTTATGCGAGTCAAAGCTGGAATGTCGGCTTTCAGAACCCTATAAATTCGGCTAAGAAAATCAAAAATCAAACTGATTGATTTTATCCCTCGAGGATACTTCCAAGACTCTGTGGTGAAAATTTCAGCTCAATCGGACAACGTTAGAATGGAATCGTCAAAAGACAGGATTCAAAAAATTGGTATTTTACGCTACACTAAGTAAATGAAAAGAACTTTAATATAATTAGCAGGAAAAAAAATTCCTAATTCAGTAACTCTGTAACAACAAATTGTTTAGAGTTAAATAATGTTTCTAATTGCACACAATACTTGAGACTATCAAACTTTATGACTAGTTCGGAATGGAGTTTTTGGTCGAAAAAGAAGAGCGAGTATACTTTATATTGTATATTTATGTATATATCTTATTGCTTATTTTACTAATCTTGCATAATATTTTTGTGAAACATGATGCGAAAGAAATGTTGAAGTACATGGTGGGAAATAATATTATTTCAGGGGAGTATCACTATGATTTCAAATGGTATCAACAACAAATTTTATATCAAATTAAAGCGCGTCACAAATGGGATTTATCGGTGATAAATAGTATGCTTCATGGTATACTGTTAGTGTTAAACTCATGAAGTTTCTAGAATTTGACGACATCCCAGCATGGAAAAACTTTTTTCATGAGGAAGTTCAAACTAGATATGATTTACAATGCGAAGAATAACAACAGTAATCGACTGCTCGCCTGAAAATATTAAAATAATAATAGAAAATGAAGTTAAAAAAAATACTATGAGAGACGAAACATCAATTTTATCATTAAGAAACTCTAATATAATACGTCTCAAATTTTTGAGAAACATGAAAACAAACATTGCGCCATTTGAAGCTCTTTTATCACGGGATCTGCTTGGACTTTGCGCTGTAAAGAACGCTTATGCCCGTCATACTAATTATTGATCATATTTATGAAATTTTAGAAAACTCATTATTACTTCCTAGTATTTATCATATTAAATCAGATCTAGTTTGAATTCCCTCATGAAAGAAATTTTTCCATGCTGAGATGCCGTGAAATTCTAAAAAATTTGATGAGTTTAACACTAAAAGGTTATCATGACCCATCATAGCGCTATCCTCTGGAATAATATTATTTCCGACCGTGTATAGAGGTAGAGATCTGAACTTCCGTTTCTCATTGAATGTAACGGACACATTAACTACTCAATGGTCCATTGCAGGTTGCGGCAGATTTAGCTGTATTACTATGAAAAAAGATTGAATTCAAGATATTTGTCTTTCGTCTTCTTGCGAAAGTCATTGTAACATATTACGGCTAACAACAACTTTGTTGAGAACATATCAATACGCTGGTTTTCAAAATCTATTGCGTTTCAATCTATGCATATCAATCGTGTTTTCACATGATTTTAATCCCATAAGTATTGCACTGACTGCTTTTTATCTTGTCGAAAAGAAACAAAATACAAGATAATAAAAAATAATCTTATTTATGCTATGAGAATCAGCACAGATATACTGTTTCATAAGTAAACAAGAATATTGATAGATGGCATTGGTCAACATTCCTAATAAATCAAATCAATTGCATATTTTAAGATAAAATATTATCCTTTCCATTGTAAAGCTATTGATTAATGATTACTAAACATATGTTCAATCATTTTTTTCAATCAAAAGTTCTGTTTCTATAGAAACTTTATGTTTATGCTGCAATAATTCAATCTATCCAATCTCTAAAATACAAGAAAAAAAAGAAAACAATTTTCGATTTGTCAAATGCTTCAGCTTTAGAATGAAAAAGAAAAGAACAATATATTTCGTCTTCTACTTATGTTTAACTAAATAGCTGAAGAATAAACATGACAGATGGTACTGAGGAACATAACACAAGAGATCGTAAACCCTCATTTTCACTAACAACAGTTCCAGAAGAATCCGAGATTAATAGTACTATCGGTGCATTGGTCATAACTACGCCATTAGTAGAGCCAAAGGCTGCTGTTGACCCCACAAATAGTAGTCAATACCGCCCTCGTCGTCGAAGTAGTATATCAATTCTTCAAACACTTGCTCAATCTCATTTACTCTCGACAAATGATGCTCGAAAAAGGTAAACATACTTATTTTTTACTTTTTTTTTGAAATAGAAATTTATTTTTCAATAGAAATTTTCTTGTCGGATCATCTCGACAATTATCAGAAAATGCTATGAGTGACATGTCTTCATGTTTTCCAAATGGACGATCATTAACAATAATGATGGTAACATGGAATACAGGTGAAGCTCCAAACTTATATGAACAAAACTTTACACCAACAGTTCGAGAAGAAGCTCAGCCAAAAGAACGTATGCTGTCTGATATGTGTGATATATTATTACCAACATTTATTGATTATGTTTCTGATTTAATTATTGTTTGTACACAAGAAATGTCTGCAACAAAAAATAGGTATCAACTAATATGAATATTTATATCTATATCTATACATTCTTTGATATAGAACGGATTGGGAAGTTTTACTTCAAGAAGTTATTGGTCAAAATCATGTTTTATATCATTCAATTCATTTTGGTACTTTATCATTATGTATATTTTTACAAAGAAATTTAATTTGGTTTTGTACTGGTATATAAAAAGAAAAAGATTCAAATTATTTCAAAATTAAACCTTTTATTTTTTCTTGTCTTTCTTTAGAACCTGAAGAAGATGTTATTAAGTTTCGAGCTGTGAATGCTTTGCGTACAAAAGGTTCAGTTGCTATAACTTTTAATCTTTTTGGTACATCATTTATGATTATTAATTCACATTTTGAAGGTTTGATTATATATACATATATGTATATGATAGTTTATCAAATTATTGATATTTGTTTTTGTTTAGCTGGTGAGGGTACCGAAGGTCGATCAAGTCGACAATTAAATTTTCAACATACACTAGATAAATTAACAATACCACATGAATTTGTTGAAAGAACTATTGTATCAAGTAAATCTCTAGTATCTTTAGTTAACGAAGAAACTTTACAACATTCTGAGTCAACAGTATCACTTGAAACTGTTCGAGATAGAGGCATAGGTAAATTTTATACTAAATATATGCTTTTTTTCCTATTATATTAAGTCCTATATTGGTTTTTGTCAGATATAACAAAAGCATGTGATTGTATTCTATGGGCCGGTGATATGAATTTTCGAATTGATATGAGCCATCAAGAAGTAGTAGATCATTGTAATAAAAAAAATTATGCTGAAATTTTACTTCAAGATGAATTTCGTATATTACAACAGAAAACAAGTAAACAAACATTCCTGTTTTTGTTTTGTTTTTGCAGAAATTTAAAATAAATTTTATTCAATTTCATTTAAGGTAACCGCCATTGTCAGTTTAAAGAAGCAAACATTGACTTTCCTCCGACATATAAATTTGATTTACGTTCTTTCAATGATATTTATACTAAAAACCGAACACCATCATATACAGTAAGAAGATATCATTATTAAATTAGAAATTATTTTTCTTTTTTAATCGTATTCGATTGACATATGAACAAAAATTTGTTTGATATATTTAGTTTCAGTTAGAGATCTATAATATGATTCAAAATGAACAGTTCGCTTATAAACATTCCCAATCTAACCTATAACTGATTAATATAAGAGATGATTTCTTATAAACATGACTTGCTGGCTATTGAAAATTAGTTTTTTTGAGACAAATTTCAAAATAATTTTTCAGTTATGTTTATGTTTATGAAATTCTCCTTGGTCGACTAAGCAAGGTTTTTCGCGATTTAACAGACATAGTATTACGACCGTATTCCACTGTATTGTAAACGGTCCGATACTCGGTTTTCAGCCAGAGCTCCACAGGGTAAAACTTTTTCTTACTCTATACTCTACTCTGAGGTTTCGACGTTTCAGCAGGTATCAATACGAAGTTTTCTTTACTATATTTTAGCATATTTTATGTGTTTTCAACAATAATCAAATACAATGTTATCACATATTTCAATAGTTTCGTAAGAATAAAATGTCATTAAAAATGTCACCACTCCATTATATCTTCTCTCTTTCAAAACCTTCTCACTTGCACTGAAAATATATTCACTTGTGCCTGAACTTGCTGGCACTTCCAATAGCCTTTTTCTAATACACTACGTTGTGGATAGTTAAATGATCATTTGTCATATCAGTTTAATACTGACTCTTCTTTACCGAACCTTAATTTACCTTAAACGTACCGACCGACTTCTTCTGACCCAGAAAGATGTCATAAGTATCTTCAAGTTGCTTGCTAGAACACTCTTAGCAATAGGAACCACACCATAATTCTACTCTAAAAATTTTTTACAAAACCTTTACCGTATCTTACCTAAGCTTTGCTTACCCTTATCCTACTCTGCGAAATACTGTTTTCCAGACTGTTATCAACTGTGTACGGCACGATAAAGTACGGTTATAATACTGTATCTATCAAATGCTAATTAACAACTATTTACGATCGCAAGCTGTGTAAACGACAGTGCATAGAGTATCGTTTTTGGCTCTCTTGATAATTGTAATCATCGTTCTGGGTAATGAGTTGCATGTCTAACACAGTAGTGTATCCACTTGTAGGCTAGACCAGGCACTGCTCAACTACCAGACGAAAGAAAAATGTAATAGTTATCGTCATGAATATTATATATTATGGGTGTTCATCAAGATCGTACAACACCGTTTTTCCACTCACGATCTTCTAGTTACATCAAAAATGTTCGACCTGAGGTTTTCAGCAATCGAAAGAGTAAAAATTTAACTGTTTTTTCTTTGTCTATTACTCTATAACATAAAGTTATTTTAAGATCCATCATTTTCACAAAATATTCGGAACAACGCGATGTCACATGTGCTTCAGATAGAAGAACCTTAGATCTATAGTTCAAGGCACAAATTAGATGATTACCTTGTCATAGTTTACTATTGACCAGATGATGGGTTTTTAAATAATTTTATCTTATATAAAATATCAGACCAAATGATGTCTCGAGTTCTCTTCTTCGAACTTCTAAAACGCGCATGTCTTTGACTATGTCCGTTGTCAAGTTATTGAGTTTACACACCAAGCATTCTTTGATTCCGGCAAAGACATTAGTCTAATATGATATTTTGTCACATTCCAAGACAACATATATCTTTATGTATTATCAAATATGTGAAAGAATACTGTTAAGAGCTATTCAATTTATAATACTGATTAAAACAACTATTGCAATATATGAAATCTTTTTTTTTGAAGGATCGTATTCTTTATCGAGATAAACCGGATTTACAAATTAAATGTACACAATATAAATCTATTGAAAGTGTAAAACATTCTGATCATAAACCTGTTGTTGCTCATTTTCGTGTTAAACTTAAACCCGGTTCACATACGTAAGTAGTTTCAGATAACTTATTTATTCGTTTTTTTATTCAAATATGGTTTTAGGGGATATCCTTCATATGGAAAATTTAATCGTGAAGTTTATCAACGTGGTAAGTGTCATTGGATTAGGTATTGTTCAGAAAAATTTTTGTTTTTTTTTTGTTTTGAATAGGTTGTGAACAACGTGAACAACATCATTCATTAGGTATTGGTGTAGAAAATAAAAGACGTCGACCGCCTATGAGTAAAAGTTCTGTTTGTGTTCTTCAATGAATTTCGTTTTGCTTGTTGTTTTAACTATTTATTATTGAGCATATTTCGAAGTGAAATAAATTTTTCTTTTCTAATATATTTGATTTCATACGTTATCATCTTTTATCTATGAGCAAAACCATATTAATGAGATCTTTATTTTAACCTTGAGAGAGTAAAAAAAGAAAACCTTGTTTGATTTTGTATGAGTAACTGAGAATAAAGAAGAATTAATAAAAACTATTATCCTTTATAATACAATTGTAAGGATCATCTTTATGGATTGGTAGATACAATTTTTTCTCTTAACGATTGATCTAAATTTTCTGCCTACTTCAAAAAATTTGATCATGAAAATTTTTTCTTCACGAATCACACATGTTTTTCTTCATGTTGAAATCTATTTCTGTGAGAAAATACGCATCAGATTATAAACGGATAATTGAAAAGTTGTTTCTAGACAAGATGTTTGTTCACTTATGATCCACTAGAAAGTGTTTCTATCGAGTTAATAGTTATTAATTTGTGCTCTTGTCGAATATGGGCTTAGAAATCTTGTGTCTGTTTCTCTTCATGAGTAATGAGTGACTTTTTGAAAGACATGAAACATTATTTTTAATGAATAAGTCAACAGGTTCTTGTTTATGTCTATGACTGCCTTTTCAAACGTGCTAAAAGTTGTCGCAGTCGGTTGTTTTGTAGAGCGGGCACTGCTACATGATATGATGTTGGACTAAGATGTAACTTTAATTCAAGCATTTTTTCAAGAGACCATGTCAATGTAAAATCGTGGTCGATCTTTCATCAATTTAATTGGATCTTCTTGCTCGTTATATAATTTTACGTTTCCCTGAGAAAAGAGATAACATGAGAATCAAATTAAGTATACAGTAAATTAATAAGATGACTAGAAGAATAAAATTAATGGTAATAAATATGAAAAGTGCTATAGTAACAAAACAATAATCTAACATTATCCATAAGCTCATTAATGAGGGAGCTAATTCGACTAATAATCTTTGTTTGAGCTCATAGGTAGCAACCATAGTATAGATAAAAACCCTGACAGTGTACGTGCTATGAGACCTTTCTTCTGCAGCTATGGTCATTTTTATAGAACTTTCAATGTATTGCAGGATATGACGAGAAAAATCGAAAGAAAGAGTTGCGGTTTGAAATTCTCTAAAACAATAGCTCTTATGGTTCTTATGATATCAGTCAAGTTTCAGCTAAAACAGATGATTTCTTTTTTAAGATATCTTATACATAAAAACTGGGCTATTTTGGAAGCTTGTGTATTTACATTATGAATCCTAGTTGTGAACTCAAATGGAGATTGCCAGTTGGATGGGTTTCCTCGTAAGAGACCAATATGGTCAATCAAGTGATTGATCAAACTGTCGTAGAATGAGAAAAGTGAAGAATAAGTTATTGATTTGCACTGTTGTGATCGTTGAAATCAATATGAGTAAGGAAAAACTGTACCGATTACAATTCTCAATCATTCAACTGGTAGAAATAATGACATCAAATATTAAGATATTTTATTCAAAGTTTGAGTTAGTCGAGCATTATGGAACATAGTATAGTTATTAATAGTAGGTGTACCACCGCTGTAGTTGTCGTTTATGTTAAGGGGGTGTAACGAATCGGAAAGTGTCGCAGGAATTTTTCGAGACCACCAGAACTAGGGAGAAATCAATGATCCATAAGATCAATTGAAACATTTTTGCTTAAGTCGAGTAGATTGGAAAGAGGATGGTTCGAGAGCTATTTTGGATTTAGTGAGCAAAATTAACAACAAAACTCTTGAATTCTGCTGGAAAAAAAACCAAGTTTTTTCGGTACTGGAGTTTCGATCAGAACAACTGTTTCCATAGTACATTTGATCGAACTGTCTGAGCTGCAGTTGATAAATCTCTTTATATCTAGCATGCTATAGTTTTAGCACTAATGTTGTATGTAATATGTTATAGAGAAATGAAGATTGTCGTAGTTTCTTTTTATTTTGCGAGATTACTAAACTTTTACAAGAAAGAAATTACGAGAATAATATAAATATCAGCATAAATAAAAAACAAAAGAGTATGCTCGAATATACAAATTAGCTCGATCATCATTGTGCGGCGGAATGATAAAAAATACAAAAACAACGAAAAACACAAAAAAAGAATGATTGATCGAGGTGATCATCAATAATTCTAAGACAAAAAAAGATTTAAAAAAAAATTGATTCATTATAAATAGTTTATCATGAAAATTGAGAATTGAAATTAAAATTAAAAATGGACTATACTTGATCTTTATTTCTGTTTGCTTCGGTCCGAGATAATTCAATTGCTTTTTGTATTGCCCAAATACTCAATGCACGCATATATCCACACTAAAATTAAGTAATAAATCAATGTTTATTTCTATATAATCAATATAAATTCCTTACAGATCGAAAACGATTTTCACGTGTTAACGCTTCAGGTGTTTGAAAAGCTAAACCAGCTATATTATAACATGTATTATAAATACCTTCAGATGTTACAAATGCTTCATTTTCAAGATTCTAATAAAGATAAATCAAATATAGTACCACTGAAAACAAAACTAAACAAATAAAACTTTACTTCCATAATCATTGTTGATGACAAACCATATGTAACACCAGTCCATACTTCTTCAGATTGTATACTAACAGTTTCTAATTTTCCTGTTTTAGTCATTCCATTAACAGCACCTAATTTGCCATTACCAAATTCCATTACATTCGTTTTAAATATTTTAGTAAGTATGCTATCTACTCGATCTTTTTCAAAATCCTATAAAAAAACAAACAGATTTAAACAAATAATCTATAATTTATTTCTATATATGTATATATTTACTTCATATTTATGACCAGATAAACGTAAATACCAAAAACCAGCTAATTGATCAGACATAATACTATCATGTTGAAATGACATACTCGAATCATAATCATAATATTGACCTAAAAAATAGAATAATTTTCAACTGAATTGATTTTGAAATGATGTATGCTTAGAACGGAGAATTGATTGCTTTGTAATACCAGCCAAAAATTAAAAGTAATCGTTCAAGGCTAGCTAAGAAAGTCCTTGAACTGTTCAACCGATTTAGAATCGAAACTATGTGCACTATGTAGATCCATATGAGCTGTCAATACGTTGAAAATCTAGCTATTACTATTGAGAAACTGTATTTTTTAGCAAAATATCATGACTCTCCTCAGGAACACTAGGAAAACAAAATTTCGAATTTCGACTTAAAACTTTGTATAGAGACAGATCTGAACAAAAATCATTTATTATAGAATTTTGAAATCTTTTCATCGCTTTTATGGTAAGATATTACTATGATAAAACATGCTTATCACGTCACTGATATGCAACGACAATATCCGATATCTGTACTTACAATCAAAAAAATTCCTAAACTTTCACAATAAGTTATTCTTGTCAAGATCTGTCCCTATGTGAAGTTTCAAGTTAAAAGTTGAATCTCAGTTTTCTTGATGTTTCTAAGGGAACCATGGTATTCTGTTAAAACATCTTGTATCTCGATAGTAATAAACTATTACTTTGAGCTCTATTCAAGATATTTATAGCTAAATGATGCACAAAGTCTCGACTCAAGAGAAACTTGACACTTAGAAAACGTTTCCTTGTGAGCGATTGAAATCACGAAAAACTTGTGGCAGCTTTTAATTTATCTAACTCAAGTTTTTCGCACAGTTTATCTTGACTTATAACAATGAAGTACTACTTCAAGTTATTGACAAGATTGAGTCCAACATTTATTCATACGAAATTCAATGTTTCTTCAAGAACATTTTTTGAAATCTGTTTCACTAGGAAAATGGTACAATTTGGTGTCGAAGGCAATGAAACACTTCAACATTTGTATAAGAATATTCAATGGATTATGTAAACCTATCGGTTGGATAGAAAACGAAACAAATGTTTGAGTCTACTCAAGCTTTTTTGGCTCTATTGTTATCTATACATAATATTTAATAGTTACATAAAATAAATAAACTAACCATTCCATAATTTTTCTGAGTACGATTTTTTAGCTAATTGAAGCCATACTTCATATTCGTCTACCAAGCTTGTATCATCCATAAGCCGAGCCATTTCTAAAGAAGCACGAAGTGCAGCTATATGTAAACCTCCACAATATGCACTAAAAAACAAAGAATATAACCAAACTCAAATTAATCATAATATTCAGTGATAAGCATAGAAAAAACCTTGCTCCAGCTACTGTCCATGCATCATAAGTTTGATCAGCAAATCCACCATTGTCTATTAAACCATCTCCATCAGTATCTTGTGTTTTAAGACGATTCATAACAAGCTTGAAAAATAAAAGTTTCAACATTTTTCTTTGTATTATTTTCGATTATTCTTACTTTTATTGTTGGCCATATATCAGTAAGAAATTGTTTATTTTGTGTATAGATATAATCTCTATAGACTTGTAAAACATATTTTGGACCTAAATCTTTCCAATCAGCTGTATCATGTGCTATATAAGCATTAATAAATAACCAGGGTTCTTCATCTATTAAATAGAATTGTTTTAATACGATAAAATAATATAAATTAATCTAATTTACCCGGATCACCAAGATCATGTGGAACAGAATTTAATGTTTTCCATATGCCTGATTGACCATGAAATAAATAAACACGTGATTCAAGTTTTTCAAATGCTATTGAAGTAGCTAAAATAATAAATCAGTTTTTATTAATTTTATTGATACAAAAAAAAAAGAAAAAGAAAACAAATCAAATACTTTACCATAATCATATTGAATACTTAATTCTAATTGTGGCCATAATTGTATCAAAGCAAAGGAAGCATAAAAATGAACATCATATGTATTTATCATTCGATATTCATGACCTTAACATTATATTTCAAAACAACAAAAAAAAAAAAAAAAAATTAACTACCTTCTAAATATCCAAATCGACCCCAACTTCTAACATGTTCAGGTAATGTTGTATCTTCACTTACATCAAGCCAAATTGAACCACCATCAGCTACAAAATATGATTCATTAAATAGTGCACTCTTATACCAATCTGGCAATGATCTAAAATCAAAAAAAGTACTTATTCAAGATATATTCTATTATAAACTCCATTCAATTACGCATCATCTAAAACGGGTTTTTGCCATTTAGTAATAGCATCTTCCCATTTTAGTCGATTATTCATTGTGTGAAGACAAAGTACTGTTCCATTCAATGTTGCTTTATCGAACCATTTAGTGTACCATCTAGTAAAAAAACAAAAGAAAAATTTTCATTATTAAATGATCAATTAATAAAATCATCAACTTTGAATATATCTTTTGTCCAAGACCAAATTTAATTTCTGGCATATGCCAAGCAAGTGCAAATTCTGATGATTTTATAGATTTTGGTTCAACAGTTGTTGTTATACATACAGAACTAGCTGTACTTAAAGTTGCTATACTTGAATTTTGTGATTCATCTTCTGTTAATCGACCATCATCTGTTAAATCAAGCCATACATTTCGTCCTTCAATTTCTGAATCGACATTAAAATTTGTTCGTGTTGTTATTATATTATCTGACTAGAAAAATTTTAATTTTATTATTAAATAAATTAATAATAAATCAAACAAACTTCTTTTTTTCCTAATATACAATATTCAAGGCTCATTTCACGTAATTTTTGTTTTATTGATATACCAGTAGCTGATATATCATCATTAGAAATATGAATTGATTCATGAGATATATCTTTACATTCGAATTCATTAGAAGCTAAAAGAAAACAAACAAAAATAGATTCGAATGAGAAAAATATTCAAACAACCTGAACCAGCTTGCCATGTAAACATTATACTAACTTCAACTGGTTCATCATCTAAATTTTCAATATACCATACAAAAGAAGCAACTGGAAGTGAAGCATCCTTCATGAAAAATATCAGAATATATTTTTAGATCTGTTTTCAAAAGTTGATAGTTAAAAAAAGATACTTTATAATCATCTGGTATAAAAGGTGATAATTGTTTACACAATAATCGAAGATTTTGACCGGGTAAATTATAAGTTGTCCATGATTGTGGATATAGAGCTTGATAATGACCATTCTCTTTTGGAAATGCAGAATTCCATGAATGTAACCCTTTTTTTCGTAATCGATTTGTTGTTAAGACTTGACAATAGGTTGTTGCATGTCGACGACGAATACACACAGTAAACTAATATGTTTTTCAATTAATCATATTCGAAAAAAAATGTATATGAAAAAAAAAATCAACTAACTGTATTTGTTTCAACAGTATAAAATTCATAAAGACCGGGTACAAGTTGATAACGACAGAATTCTCCTTTAAATCCTCGGCCAATTGTTCCACAACCCAAACCACCAATAGGTGCACCTATCCAACACAAACACATAATGAGAAAATATTCTCAACTATCCATTTGATCGGTCATGATGAATAGTTAAAAAGGTTCATTTTGGTATAGTTTCCCAGTCTTCACCTGCTGAGCTATGAGTAGTTTTCACTCTACGAGCATAAAATCATTACGAACCTGAATAATCGAACTTTAATCAGTATCCTAAACGAGTATCACTTTTCAAAATCGAACTTGGCATTTTAATATTCTTGAATTCGAATAATTGTACTCGAACGGAATCTAATCAACATTCAGCAGATATTTGCACAGTCACAGCATAGTTTTCAAACTTTTATTTTACATGAGTAAATTAAATGATTTAGAATTCACTTGGTGTCTTTCTGTTTCTAAAATACAATCGATTTCGTTAAGTATACATTCACTTGCTATTGATAATACTATCATGAAATGCAGTGTTTATGTCAAACATCAGCATTGTGGAAATATATATAGGAATGCTTTTTCCATCACGATAATATATATTCACTTTTTTCGACAATTCATTGTCTTTTCCATATATTCAATTGTTTCGTCATATGGATTGTCCGCATTTAAACGTGAGTTTTCGTTAACAATGATTTCTTTTAGTAAAAAAAACACTAGTTTCTACATCTGTAACGTATTCTCAAGTACAGTAAATGGCTTAAATTTTCACTTCTGTGGTTTTGCGTAAACTAGCAGTTTGGACAAAGTAAAATATTGTTTAAAATGTTCAGGTGTCATTCATTGTATGATGGGATTCAGGTATGAGATTATGTCTAACCTGATTGTAGGACAGTAATTTCGAGGCGCAATTTAGTTCATAAATATGCCTTAAAATCATTCGAAATATTCCTCTGCCAGAATAACACGCCATGGTCTTCTATTGTAGGCTAGTTTTTTGCTAACATTCACTTAGAAAAGTAAGGCAATGTGAAAAACTTTTCTAATATTCAAATAAGCGTTATTAACTGCTAAGTGTTAAGAAACCAGAGTTTTTTTACTCAAAAACATGCTGAGTTTCGAAAAAACAATTTTGGAAAGCCCATAACCTTCTATTACGCCTTACTAAAGTTTTCTTGTGGATGGTGTTCTATTCTGGAGAGAGAGTATAGAACATACGCATCTGTATCTGGGTATCAATTCTTCATAGAATTGTTCTTTCTTTAGCTAGAAATTCGATAATATAGGTTCTCCATGATTCTATGTTCAAAGTACGCAAGTCTTATTAAACGACCATAACTGAACCAGAAAACATTGGATACGTAAACTTAAATCAACTTTTTGTTTTACTATTCATTGTTTCATTTTTTAATTTACGTATTGAATATCTACAAAATAAAACATTTTGATTTATTTACCATATATTTGTTGAAGTGGTACTGGATTAATAAAATCCATATGTGCTCTTCGTTTTTCTCTTTTTAATGCATACCAGACACGAAGATATCTATTAAATTTTAAACAATAATATGTAGTTTTTGTTTTTCATTCAAATTCATAGAATTAACCTCAGAAATAAAGGTACATATTCTATTAATTGTGAAAATCTTGGTCTTGAAAATGGTTTCCAACTTGAATCGAATTCTTTATCAAAATCTACATGCCAACCATATTGTGTTGAAACTAATTTATCAAGATTAGATGATGACATGAATACAATAATCTAAAAAAACAAAAGAAAAAAAGACAAACAGGTCAAATCTAGATATGTTATCATATATTATTATAATTTTAAATTGTACAACATGAGTACATCATTTTTATAATCAGTTAAATTTTTTAGTTCATTCTCAACACCTTCATCTTGAACACGAGTTATACTTGTACGATATCGTTCAACGAGTTTTTTATTTTGTTCAACAATAGATTTTGAATCGACTGATGATGCATTTTTCTGAAGAAAAAAAAATTGAGAAATTATTTTTAGATAAATGGAAAATTTGTATATAGATTTATAATAAAAAAACCTCAGAGGCTTTAAGAATATCAAGTAATCGAGTACGTGAAGGACTTTTATCCCAATAATATGTTTGCCAATCGTTCTTTGTTCTATCTTCTTCCCAATTTTCAGCTTTCTAATATGAGAAAAAAAACCACAATATAAGATTTAATGTTTAAACAAACAAAAAAAAAAGGTTTCTTTACCCAAGATTCAAAATACAATGCTGTTAATAAATATTGAGCATAATCATAATTTTGCTTTCGATATGGACATCTAAAGAAAGATTATATGAGACAAGTAAGTAAGTAATTGTTTATTTTCTTTTCTCATAAACATAGAATAAATAAAACCGAAATATGAATTACAATTGAAAGCTTTCGTTTCTTATCAGTTTCTGACAATGAAATTCATTTGTCTACGTAATATTTGTTATCTAAATGTTTAAGTACGAATAAAAATAGAGTCTTCGAGTGTAAATATATTATCAATCATTACGACGACATATTCTTTTCACCTGTATATACGAAGTAAAACTAATCGGTCGATCATTTGATAAATTTTAATTGTTCTCTACTCTCTATTAATATCCCATGTGATACGTTTGTTCGTACTACCTCTTGGATACCACGGTATTTATAAGAATTCTAGGTAACGTTGACGGCGTTCGGTTCCAAATATAAACGATCACAGAGAGTGTTTTTTACTCAAATTCATATACGACGGCATCTATAATAAAAATATATCTCATAATTGTGATAGATTTGAGCTCTTTAGCTAGTATAGACGACTTAGACGCATCAACATTAACAAGGTGTATCGAAATTACTAACATTGTCAAAAAACAAAAAACATTGTCAGTATAGCACATATTATACCGATCGATGGTTTGTTAGTAAATATCACATGAATCCTCTATCCCTTCAGAAATGTCAAATATTGTAAAAAAAACCCGAAGTTGAAGATAAATACATAACTCAATACTTTCCAATATGTACACAAAAGAATTAATTTTTGCAGAGATCAGATATAGTCAGACAGTCTACACTGTATGTTATCGAGATCAGATGATTGTGAAGATGAGAAACATTTCTGAACAAATGTCTTAAAGTATTTTCATCTTTCAAATACCTTTTATCAGATATATCAAATAGTGTATGCAATGGAGATTGTTTATAACCCAGATTAATACTGTGACAGTCTGATTAATAAATTTCCGTAGATTCTCGGTGGGAAAATCGGAAATAGGAATCCAATGATAAGATTTTTCTAGTTTCAATCGTAATCGAACAGAGCGAGTCAGTGGATTTCTATGGAGAAAAACTGCAAAAAGCATGGCAGTTTCTTAAAATAATATCAAAGTTACCATGGGCATCACATGAAAAAAGTACTTCGCTGATTTGAGCAACCAAAAGACTGAGATGTCTGTTTATTAACAAACAGAAGAAAACTACAGAAGTTGTGTTTCTATAGTTCAGTTGTTTTCATTCGAGTGTTTACATTCCTAACTATAAAGATTAGAATAGAGTGGATGTAGATATTTCTTTTCTTTTAAGTCGTAGTCAGGTCGACGCCTTCAAAATTTATTTGACTAGGGACAGAAAGACCTATCTATTCTGATAAACTAATAAAAAGATCATGATTTAATAGCCAATTATGCCGTCTCATTTTTCATTGAAAAAATGCAGTCGATCATTTTGTTCTATATTCATTAAGTTAAAAAATAATCACAAGTGGAGAACAAAACAAATATAGTAATATATCTATTATTATGTAACACATTAACTACCATTTAATCAAATTTTATGGGTACTATTAACTAATATCCAATATGCTGACCTTTATATAATTTTAAATTTTATTATTGTGCAAGAATAGTTATAAAACTTGTTTCACATTTCATTTGAAAGCTAGTGACTCTCATGATTCTTTTGTCAAATTTTCTTCCGCCTTTAGTCTTAAAAGATGCGCAATATCAAAACTTTTCAATACGACTAGCACAGGAATTACTAACTCCAATTTTTTTCTGTAAAATAATAATAAAAGAATAGACTTTGTAGTCGTGAACTTCAACAACAGGCGTTATGTACAGTCCAATATTGTTACAACTACAACAAATAATGAGATCCATAAAAGAATACTTTTGTTATGTGCACACAATTTCAGCTCAATACCTTGAAGACCCTGTTCTAAAGAAAGAAAAAACTTAAAAGAAAATTTATCGTACTTGTCAGCGACTAAAGTAAGTTCATCTGTATCTGCATTATATCTTTGTCCAGCTAAACGAATAAATTTATCTCGAGCATGTTCATCAAATTCAAGTTGTGTTAATTTAAACTAAAATACAAGAAAAAAATTCAATAGAAAAATATTTTAATCATAAAATTCTCCTATAATAAATACATTAAATTTAACAACACGAGCTCGAGAATCTCGTATAGATGGTGTTGAATTAAGATAATCATACGTTGTTATTTGTATAGGTAAATAATATTCACATGCTTCATCAGAATTTAATTCTTCTGGCCATGGTGTACAATATTCTAATTCAATGAAAATTATCATATATTTTTAATTATTCATAGAAAAGAACAAAACTCGATTTACTTTTAATTGCAGCACAATGTTTTTTTATATGATTAGGTGTTAAATGAAAAAAATTTGGAATTTTCATAAGTTCAGCATTAGCATATTTTTCTACTGGTAAACCTTTATTTTCCTTATCGGAAGAAACATAACCTTGAGTTATAGGTAATGGTACAACACTTTGTTTAAATGTTGTAGCTGTTGGCCAAACATTTGTCCAATCTTGATCAGTTGACATACGTAAATAACGTGGTGGTGGAACCTAATTAAGTAATTAATTGATTTCTTTTTCTATTTATTGATATGAATATAAAGAAAAACCTCTTTAAATTTTGGTTTCGCACGTTTTTTCATTGGACCAGATCGACTACCTTTTGATTGTGTTAATTGTAATACGCGAAATTCTCCCATTTGAGCTAAATGATTAAATTCATAATTGATATATTATCTAATATAATATATCTATATATATAATATGTAAATTTAAACTTACATTTAGGTCCAGTTGATCTTTGTGCTTGACGAAAAGTTCTCACAAATGATAACATATTATTTGATGATAATCTCAATTGAAGTTTTAAGTATGAGAAAGACATGTTTATTTGATCTACAAAATTTTATTTTTTTTTATATTTACAATAAAATAAAACATAAATTATTAATATATGAATTAGATCAGATGTATATAAATTCTACGATATTGTTCAATAAATACAATCAGTAATTGTCATCACTGATTGGAGCCAGTCGAATTCAGAATTTTCGGATCTGAACTCGGTTGAACCATACTTTAATACTCTAAATAAAAATTACCAATCGGAATTCGATAGTCGTTCTGAAGAGACGAGATAATTTTTTTCCGATTTTTTGAATTTAGTGACTAGTACACTCTACACACTGCTCAAACGACTGGAACACGTCTGGTCCGCAATTTTCAGACTTGAATATGATCTGAATTTGACTATGTTCGAAACCAACTCGACGAGCTCTTTTCATGTGTGTTGTGATGATTAAGTTCTATAACCATTTGAATAATGGATAAAAATGAAGATCATTCTAACGATCAGCAACTCGTTTCATTGTAAAATAATAAGTATTCAATGATTATACATATCGATTACTTCCGAGCTTTGATAAGCACCTGTAGCAAAGTCATTTTTGTAGGCAAATAGTGTAGTGGTGGAATAAATACTTTAATAATTACAAGTATGAATGTTTAACCAAGAGAATAGAGATATAAGTCGATGGATTGATTGACAGCGACAATTGAAATTTTTCGATGAATATTTTTAAAATTTTCTTTGAAAAATGTTGAATTGAAAAAAGAAAAAAAACCGATGATAGAGAACTTATTGACCAAAATCAGACGGTAAAATCTCAGAAAAATTGATTTCAAATGTCGGAAATTTTAAAAAAATCAAACATTTATTTTGATATCGTGGCAGCTCAGATAATCGGCTAACACATCTACAAGAGAACATAAAGATACAAGCAATTATAATCAAAACTCTAAATCTACACAGCAGAAAGCAAAGTCAAACAGTTTGAGTGAACATTAAAATAATAGGAATAAAGTTGTTCTAACTGATTAACGTAATATTTCAAACAATTCTCTATGTAATGAAAATTGTAAAAGTATTGGTTAATTTGTAAATTATGTCTGTGAACTTATCGGATATGATATCAAATATTTTAAAGATAATGAAAGAAATTAGAAATTGAAAGGATTCAAAAAAAAAAACTCTTTTTTATCTTATATGGCGTAAAAGGAAGAAACAATATCCGAAAATTCCTAAGCTACCGAGATTTATTACATGTCAAATTTCTGCATTTTAATAGATTTATTCGAGCTGAACTCATTCGTCTGTTCTCCGAATATAATTCTTTAAAAAATTCTAGATATACAAATTCTTGTAGACTTCATCAAGTTCCATTGAACCATATAAAATATATTATACAGGATATTCTATGGTTGATTTCTTAATTAAAAGCATTCTATAAAAAATTAATATTATCATATTTTACTGAAGATTTAAAAAAAACATAAAAATTTATCAATTTATCTGGCGTAGTAAGACAATTTCGTCAAGTTAACAATCATCATTTGTATTGGTTCATAGAGTAGCAAAATAGAAATCACGCCATAAAGCAATAGATTGACCATCAGAGACATCTAGCCCATGCATTATAGCTACAAAAATGTGGTACATACATATACTTGTTTGATTTATTTACTAACGACGAAAAAAAAACCAGTTAACTATACGCATAGAACAAAGAATCATCAATTTAAATGTATCGTCCTTATTCGTGTCATGCGTAGGATACTACGCAAGAGGTAACTGACAGGTATAACTGTATAGAAAAAAAAAGACGAGAAGAGAAGAGAAAATAAAAATTATTTGGATTGCTTTGCTAAAAAAGCAAATATATACATTTATCTCAATCATACCTTCATCCAGACTACGTCATTCTATTCATTTCTTTGTGCTTTAAGAACAACATAAAAAAGGTTTTGTACTATTATTTTCTTTCGAATATAAAAACGCAAAATAACTATATTCATTTTGTTGTTGTTATTGTAGATCATACAATGGGTAATGCAAAATGTACGCCAACTATGGAAGATATGACTGCTCTTCATAGAAAACGATCTCAACAAAATATAAATGAACCAACAAAATTATCTGCAATCAAAAGAGAACAGAAACGAGTCGAGTTATCTGAAAGAGATATTGCTTTTCTTTGTTCACAAACAGGTAATTATAAATAAGTATTTAACAATAATCTAACATAGATCCGTTAAATAGTCTTTATTAATTAATTCAACGTTACTTCTTGTTCTATACATGTTTACGTTATTTCCCTAGAATTGTTTCTTTAAGTATTTTTGAGGAATACAATATGGTGATATGAGTCAGTTTTGACAGAAACTATGTACAAAGAAATAAAAAAACATTTATGGATAAATTACATACATCCGAGTTACATTATGGTAACCTTTCTAAAGGTTTGCGTGTTATTTCAAATCATGTATGTTTCAGTACAGTTAATCATGTTTGACGATTGGCACAAATATATACATTTCACATATGTCCTTAGCGGAACGTTCGCCCTTTTCAGAATTTATGAAGAACGATTCATCAAAAACTTTGAAACTTTCAGGATAAATAAATATCATTAAGTGAAGCAAAGGTCACCATAGACTCACTATTTCCAAATATTTTCTTATAGGAAATATCTGGGTCGCAAAGACTCACACTTGTTTCGAGTTCTCAACCACAATAAGTCCGAAATAGCTGGAAGTGTTTTATACATATTAGACATTATGTTTGGGATGCCCAATTTTTTTTTCCTTTCTCTCGAATAAAAGGTCAAAATACTGAGCGCATGATATGGTATTTTACTAGGGTGTTCTTTTTTTGTAAAATCTATCAAAAATCAACGATGCAATATTTTTGAACACGAAAAACTTTACATACTCCAAACGGTGTTCAATTACTGTAAAAAAGGTTTCAGTTTGATCGAACGTACTATGTCGGAGAACTACGGAAGATTCAGTACTTTTTTTGTGTAAAAATTGATTTCGAGAAAACGACAAACAAATTTTCCTGTATATAGTAGGTCTTTTTTTTTTCCTCCAATTAAAAGAATCAAAAACTGGTCATGCTCAGTAGTGCTAGAGGTCATGAGTACCAATGTTTTCAATACGTTCGGAATGAGAAATAATCATTATGGTTAGAAGATGTGTGTATATAAAGAATAATTGCAACGCAAGTTTTTCTACTAGGAATTTTGAAAGTTTGTTTTAATAAAAATACTAATTTATATAACGAAGAGCCATTATTTATATGACATTTGACAGTAAGCACTTAGAAACTGTATTAGCAATTAAAAACCAAAAATCGAATAAAATTTTAATTGTAACATTCAAAAAGAAGAAGTATCCTAATCTAATAAATAATATATTTGATTTGATTTGATACCAAAATAGATCTATATTTAATTAATTACTGATGAAACAAACTATTTGGAATAACGAATAAAGAAACCATAGTGAAAAATTACAATATTTATCAAGTTATTCCTATGAGAGAAAGAGACTGTTTACAAACATTTCCGGATATTGAAATCAAATTTCTTTAACTTTTAGTTTTCCATGGCTAATATAACTTCGAAGTGTATTCTATCAAATATCATATAAGTTAAGACTCGTCGTTGTTAGTTAGTACTTTTATTTAACCGAACTTTCCAAATTCCTTGTAGAAAAACTCGTGCTGCATTAATTTTTTTATATGCATACATCTTCTAACAATAATGGTTAGTTCTTACTTCAAACGTATTGAGAACATGGATGCTCAGAGACCTCTAACACTGCTGATCACGACCAGTTTTTGATTATTTTAGTTGGAGAAAAAAAGCTCTGATACATAGAGATTACTGATAGCATTATACATCAGATACGAGCAACTAAAATAATGAAGTCTCTTCTAAAACTTGTAATCAAGAGAAGATAAAATATTTTAATGAACCTGTTTTTCATAGGTCTTCCATCAGATGAAATAATTAATTGGCATAAAAAATTTTTTCATGATAATCCTGATGGTCGTCTTGATCGTAATCAATTTCGTAAATTTTATCGTATTCTACGTAATGAATCACCTGATCGTTTAAATGATATGTGTGATCATATATTTCGTGCATTTGATGTCGATGGAAATGGTTATGTTGAATTTGGAGAATTTTTATTAGGCTTTGCTATATGTTCACGTGGTGATCTTCGATCACGTTTAGATTATGCATTTGAATGTTATGATCTTGATTCAAATGGATATATAACTGAAGGTAATAACAAATATAAATATACATGAAAAGAAAAAAAAACTAATAAACTATATATTTTAATTTAGATGAAATCGAACCAGTTCTTCTAGCAATGTATACTCTATTGGGTATACAACATATTGAAGATTATCCACCAGGAGAAGTTGCAAAAGATTTAATGAAAAAATTAGACATATCAAATGATGGTCGTGTAACGAAAGATGAATTTATTCATTTTCTTATGAAAGATGGAATTTATAGAAATACAGTTAATCCATTTCATTAACTTCAGTTTTTTTTTTCATTGTCAGATAAAGAACAACACATGCTTTATGCTTTAATTTTTATTTTGAATTCAATACTAAAATTATATATTATATCATTGACATACTAAATGTGTCAAAATATTTGTAAAACTTTCTATTTCATATATATATATTTCAGCCTATGTAAATGATAAAATCTTGAATTTTTTTAAAAAGATACGTCATTGACAACTCAACAACAATTTCTGAATAAATCTCTACTAACATACTATAATGATTTTTCTATATGATTGAAAACGACAATTTAAACCCCTCTATAATACAAGAACCTCCTTTGATAAATGAACCAAAAGACATATTAGAAGACCCCCTCGCAATATCAATTTTTTTTAAATAATTTCTGGAACCTAGTGGCATTTTCTAGAATTTAAGTCCATAATGATGTCTAAGTTCAGTAT